TAAGAAGAAGAAGAAGAAGAAGAAGAAGAAGAAGAAGAAGAAGAAGAAGAAGAAGAAGAAGAAGAAGAAGAAGAAGAAGAAGAAGAAGAAGAAATCGTAGCTGTCCTCGAGCAAATCCCTCGCAACATCTGCCAGAGAGATTAGTACGGTCATTATGATTCTAGCTATCCCTCCCTGGCCTTCGCAAACACCAACATTTGTGAGGCAGCGTGATGGAATCAGGCTCTCGTCAGTTTTTGGGCATGTAGAGTTATTGGTATCATCTTAAAGCTTGTTCATTTGTCTTTATTTGGATGAACAAACATTCATTTATTTTGAATACAAGTCGAGATGTTAGCGAAAGAAGGAGGTGGATGTCACCTGTTTACAGAGGTAAAATTTGTGAGAATGTGGCCGCAAAAGATTAGTTATTTCCTTAGCTGAAGAGTCCCTGGTAACTAAAAATTTACATTTTTTGTGCCTTTAATTAACGTTTTTTCTGAAAAATCCAAAAAACAAAATTTTCATTAAAATTCACAAACCTGGGGGGAAATGCAAATTTCTTCACTTTGATTATTTTGACGAGAGTTTGATTCCACCACGGTGCCTCACATTTATTGTACGTTGATTGAGTTATGCGCTCACCTAGGATGAACCCTCAATAATTGCCCAGCTGCTGTACTTTGGGTTCAAGCTAGAGGTCACCGAACTTAATTCTTCACTTGTTTTCTTTTTTCTTTTTCTGTCTTTTCATTTTTACCATCTTTCCTTTCACTTTATACTTTGTTTTCTTCGGTTCAGTAAATGTTTCTTACCTTTGGTTTAAAATTATTTTTTTTTAAAAATTTGTTAAAAGTCATTTCAAAAGTTATTGTAACATAATATAAGGGTTTTACAGTTCGGAGGTCCCTCACAAAATTATTTGATGATGTTCAGTTGGCAAATACAGACAAGCGTGGAGAAGTCTTGTATCCTGTATACAAAAAGAGAAAAACGTGAATATAGTACGTCTGCCTGTATGTGCTGTAGACAGATAACGAGAGAGAAGGAAAAGATAAGGAAGGAGAGAAATAGAGGGTATGTGTGGGTGTGTTTGAGTGTGTGCATGTGTGTGTACATATATATATA